CTGTCAGATTGATAAAAATCTAAAAAAAAATTACAGTTTTATTAAATTTGATCAATTACCTGGATTTATTACTGTTTATTTTTTATATTTTACAGCTAAAAATGATTCATGTTGACCTCTAAATAAACAGTGAATTATTTAAAAAGCCAAACAATCTGATTGGTTTATTTTCAGTAGCTTCAAACCGCTCAGACTGATCTGAACGTCCAGTCCATCCCTGACCTTTGACCTCTGAGCTCCTCCACAACTTTTCACAATAAAAGCCTTGATAAAGGAGAGGAAGAAGGAGCTCTCAGAGAACTTTCAGCTTCACGCGTTAGCAGCTTTTCCTAAAGTAAAAACCGCCCGTCGCTTTGTTTCGGACCGCCCCTCCCCCCGGGTCCGAACGGTTCTGTAGCTGCTCGTTAAGTTTTAAATGGTTACAGTAAAAACGGAGACTACGTCTACTGACGGCACAGAAACGGTTAAAAACTGCTCCTGATGTGAGCCGTCAACGACCTACTGTTGTTTTATTAAACCACATTTCTGTTAAATGTTTAAGGAGCAGGAATGAAATGAAAACCTCCTCCTCCTCCTCCTCCTCCTCCTCCCAGCAGGAAGTCAATCTTTAACCTCCTCCCGTCTCCAGGTGGATCTGCGGCCCGTGGCTACAAAGCTACATGAGTGGATTCTCGCCCGCCGGCACCGGAGCGGCTCTCCGGCGCAGCAGGAAGCAGGTGAAGCACCTGGCGTCCAGGTGGGCCGCTCAGTGTCCCCCGTCTCCGGAGGACGGACTCTCGGAGCGCCCGTCCCTGCCGGCCGAAGACTTCTTCTGCTTCTGCTTGGACCTCCTCAGCATCTGGACCTGCGGAGGGAGAAAACCACAGAATTACTGAAAAACACAGAACAGTTCAATTAAACTCTAAAAACTCCAAGAGAAGAGAAGAAAAACCTGGTTAAATAACAATAAAACAATAAATAAATACTAAAGAACGTTTCAACAACAAATCAAGAAAAGCTCAAGTTTTTACCGAATATTCACCTGTTACCTGTCAGATCTCCACCAGGTAAACAAATAAACAAGTTAAAGTTTTACGTAAAGAGACTTTACCATAAAACATTCAACACAAAATACACCTGGAAACACCTGGAAACACCTGTCCTTTCATTCTAAAAGAGTTGGGGGCGTGTCCAAACGTTAACGCCTACCTGAGCTGCAGGTGAACTCACAATGAAACATTAAAAACTAAAAATAAATTCTCTAAAGCTCAGCACTAATCTACTCTCTGACGGGCTTTTATTTTGAAGAGTATTTATGAGCTTTAAGGTCTGCCTGTCAGGTGATCTCAGAGTCCTGGACCCTGCGGGGACAAACAGAACCGGGTACCTTGGGTCCAGCAGCAGAGATGATGATGAGTCCAGGGGGCTGGACCCACGGTTCTCCGTCCACCTGGACAGGTAGGGGGTTCCTCACCGTCAGCCTGATGTAGCTCCCCTGAGCGATCCGGATCCCAGACCTCAGACCGCTCTGGACCTGACCCTGCAGAACCACAGACCGGGGGGAGGTGGGGGGTTACCTGCTGTCCTCCAGAGAAGACGTGTGAACAACAGCTGGACTCACCATGTGGACCACCCCGGTGACCCCCACCACCTCCAGCAGCCCGTCGCTGATGCTCGGCTTCCTGAAACGACCGTCCACCTCCGACCCCCACAGGTCGGCCCCGGACCCCCAGCTAGACGGGGGGAGGAAGAGGAGCATGATGAAGCTCAGAGGGTCCGGCAGCGACAGGTGTGTGTGTGTGAGCGGTACCTGGGGATGTTGAGGAAGATGAGCCCCTCGATGGTGGGTAAGGGGACGTTCTCATTGTCCACCTGCAGCTGCAGCTCTTTGTGGAGGCTCCTGGTGTGGCTGATCTTCTGCAGGCCCACCTTCACGTACACACCTTTGTTGTGGAACCTGTGGCAGGTGCAGACAGGTGTAATACAGTTCCTGACCAGCAGGTGTCAGGACGGTACACCTGTTGTCCTTCCAGGTGAGGGRTCCTGGAGGGCCGCAGCCTTTCCCTGCTCCAACACACCTGATTCAGTCCCTGAACTACCTCCTCATGTTCTGCAGTACGGAGGACCGACACTGACATCATTAGATATAAAAGCAGAAATAGATAAATGAATCTTTAAATAAATAAATACATTTAAAATGCATCAAATAAATTAAAAACAGAACTTTACCTCATGTTTTATTATTTAATTCACCTTTATATTTATTTTTCCAGCTTAGTTTCAATAAATTGCCAGAATACCAGATCAATGTGTGAATTTAACAGAATGATAAAGGTTAATTTGTTGGAGAAATATATATGGGTATAGTGTATGAATTGTTCAAGAAATTAAAAACAGAACTTTACCTCATGTTTTATTATTTAATTCACCTTTATATTTATTTTTCCAGCTTAGTTTCAATAAATTGCCAGAATACCAG